GTCATGTATTGCGAAGGGAAGAAGGAACAAGACTGAAGGAAGTATGTTCAGCTGTACCAACTGGAAAGCGTCCACTAGGTAGACCAAAAATGAGATGGTATGACCAAGTTGAGAGAGATGTGAGTCAGTGTGGAGGGAAAGTGGAGATGGCAGCGGACAGAGAAGCATGGAAGAGGCTGATCTACGAGGCGAAGAATCGACTGCGATTTGTAGCGCCCCAGCAGTAAGTAATTAAGTTATACAGTAGACTCCCTCTTAACCGACCCTAATGGGACCGGACCTAGGTCCGATAATTCAAAAGGTCGGATAAAACGGACAATCCCTAAAATCATAACATAATGAAGTGCTATTCATTTGGAATTATATGATCATTATTTTGAAATAATAATTGCATTATTTATCAAATAAACTACTCTTATCTCCTTTTTCCTATTGATAGAAAAGTCACAAATAAACACAAAACACGGTTAAGTCAAATAGGCCTGTTTTCAATGGAATATATTATAATACTAGGCAAGAGTCAATAAAATTCCCATTTTAATAACTTTAATACTGTAATTTATTAGTTGATGCTTTACAAATCCATCGTAATACGGTACAGAACCTTTTGTCAAAATTAAAGATACAAGCAACCATTTTGTTTCAAGACAGGACGTTTATTTATAGCCTCTCACTGGAGGCTCGAGGCACAAAAACTATCTTGACCTTGGAGTTGTTAACCCCACTTCCCTGCCCTCCCTACAAGTTGCGTTGTTTGTTTACTCCAGCGATAAGATAATCAGTTCTCAAAATCGTAACACACTTTATGATGTTATAAATTTGCCGCACAGATAACAAACAGATCAGATGGGCTTGAGCTACGAACGATGATGACAAACTGACAATAGGCTGTGCTATATTTTTTGTGATCAACACAAAATAACTTATTCTTAGTCATATCCTGTGGAGATAAGCGTATGGTTCGGTTCTTATCGCCCAGCGTGGGAGCGGAAATGCCTAGAAAGCGGCGGTTAAAACGAGCTGCTCTCAAAGCAAGGTCGGTTAAAACAACCCGTATTATTTTACGATCGAAGGCGGATAATCCGATTATCGGTTAATACGAGGTCGGTTAAGAGGGGGTCTACTGTATACAGTTAATAGTAATAGTGCAGGACTACAAACATAGAAGGGCAAACCCATGATTGAAAAGTGATTCCAGCCCCCCTCCTCCCGCAGCCGGGTGTGACGTTGCCGCGGGCTCTGTCCCATACAGCAGTTCGGTATCTCATATCTGTGTTTGCACTCACTCTGTCGTGAATTTTGTTCTTATAATCCAGATATTAATGACTATATTTGTTTTTTATAACGTATCTATATATTTAATATGCTAGGCATATTTTCGTCATAATTGTTTAGGAGCGGTGGTGCTACCGATCACCATGTCCAAGGTGTCATTAGAAAGGTCTTAGCATGTAGTTTTGCCATAAAACAAAAAAATCTTTGGAATTCCATCAGGGCTCTGCCCCAGTAGCCTTCAAAGTTCCCATGTTATTCTTATGAAGAAAATGTTTGTTTACATTTAAACAGATGAATACTTTGAAATTGACACTAATATTTGAAACAGCTGGTTGTACTAAAATTGGAGCCATTTATTAGATTAGTTGAAAAGATTAATGTTTCACTGTTTTAAACCCGTTTTTTATTTGCACAAAATCAAAACATAACCAAAAAAACATTCAACTTAATGGTTTAACTTAATGGTCGACTATAAGACGTCCAAGAGGAGGAGGCCGACGAACTTTAACTTGTCTAGGTGCGAACGAAATACAAATAATACTATTGTCTTTGATAGCCGAATACAGCAAGCCCCCTTCCATGTTGGGTTTATGTGTGCTCTCCAACAGCCGCCTGAAGATTCCAGATTCAATTTAGGACTGTTGGATAATCGCTGTATAAGCTGTTGATTTTGAAACAGAAGAGAGGAGATATTAGATAAGTTGCAAATGCGTTGGGAGCAGAATGTTTTATGTTAACTTTTTAAAGGTAAACGTTCGGATATATACCTAACCTCAGAAAGAGACTGGAACAAGATCGGGAGATGGGCCATTATGAAAAGCAGTTTGTCACAGGACATTGAAAATTTAAAGGTGAATTTGTGGAGAATTCACCTGGTGGAAGAGGAATTATGTAGATGTGGAGAAATAAAAACCACGAGTCACGTATTTATAAATTGTTCTCTTCAGAAGACAAATAGGAGAGTACAGAAATAAGTGTTGGATAAGAGAGGTATAGAGGTGAGAAAATAAAACATTAAGAGTGACAAGGAAACAATTGATATGTTTAGAAAAGTAGCTAGGGAAATAGGAAAAACCATGTATACATACAGGTTTTAAATTTAAAATACCCCCGCCGCACCAAACCTGCAGACTAAGCGAATTTCCGTTTACCTGGCTGGATTATACTAAAATATTCCTTGAAAAATGTCAGATTTATTTCCTATTTAAATAACATTAATTTTAATGAGTACCTAGGTTTGCTGCTAGAGAGAAGGTATTGAGGGGTGTTTTTTTATTGAAATGTTGATAGCTTAGTATGAAATAAACAAAATTGCCATATTTGATCAAAATATATCCATAAACAAGCAAACTACAACAGTTTATTTATTCTCCATAAGAATGACACGTGAATATTAAATTTAAAGTTTTTTATATTATCTCCGTAACCATTAGGCATACAACAACGCTTCAATATACAATATTATTTCTTTTTTTAAGCTCTACAAAATGGTCTGGAAAGAAATTGTGAAATGTAATGTTTTTAGAGTCAAAAATGGGAAAAACTTATATTTATCCCATTAAACCCCCCATAAACCCCTGTTCCCATAGTCCGATCATGCTGGTTAGCGTATTCGTTTAAATAAACGTAGGTTTACACGTTTGTACCAAATTTTATCAAAATCGGATAATTTTTGCTCGAGTTATCGCGCTAACGGACACACATCCTACTAATATTATAAATGAGAAAGTTTAGATGTATGGATGTATGGATGTATGGATGTATGTTTGTGACAAGTGAACGCGAAAAATACTGGTCGGATTGGGCTGAAATTTGGCATGATGATAGCTCACATTCCCGATTAACATATAGGCATATTCTTATTTCAAAAATCCGTTCGGGCTCCGCCCCAGAGGCTCTGGAGTTTCCCATGTTAACCTGATGAGAAATGGAATTAATTAATCTTAACAGCTGTTTCAATTAAACAAGTTGGTTCTGTTCTATGATGTTCAATAGCATTAAAGTTACAATGATTACCAACAGGGTGCAGCACTATTATTTCTTTTACATTTATGATAACAGCTAATTTGAAACCAAAAGGTGAGTGAGCGTAGCGAACGAACTTCAACCTGGAGGCGAGTTAGCGTAGCGAACGAGCTAACCTGAAGGCAAGTGAGCGCAGCGAACGAGCTCCAACCTAAAGGTGAGTGAGCGTAGCGAACAAACTTCAACCAGGACGTGATTGAGCCATGCGAACGAGATAATCTTGAAAATTAAGAAGTTAAACGGGGCAAAGCCCGCGGGATACAGCTAGTATAATATATATATATATGAATTTGAACGGAGGGTGTTTTTGGCCTATGGGGACTTCAAAACGAAAAAGTAAATCGGTCCCGAGTCTAGGTCTTACCATGAGTCCTACGGTAATAGCTTATTCCCTATATGGGAAATTCGCTAAAAAGAAATAAACAAAAACTAAGAAAGAAAAGGAATGAAAACTTGCCCATGAAGGGGCGAGGAAAGGTTAGAGCGAATCTCAATGATCCCTATCGCTCAGGGTGGTATGGGGAAGGGAGTCGTGCTGTTAGGCTTTTGGACACATAATGTGTCTGGACGAGGATTGAAAGTGGCTGAATCCTAAAAAGAAAGAAGATTTTCACGTGGAATTGGCCTGGCAAATAAGTCCCAGACTTAAGCCAGGGGTGGTGGTGGGAACGAGGAGATTGCTACAAACAATAATTACTGACTTGGTTGAAATGAAATATTTACCTGAGTATTTCCATAATCTTTGAGTCAAAATTTGACTCAAGGAACACTAAAACAGTTATAATTTCTGATGACTTTCAAAGATTTAATCTTTGAAAGTCATCAGAAATTATAACTGTTATTCGTTTTAAAATAACGCCTGTAATACTTAGCAATTGCTCGAATTCGAGCAACAGGTACACTAGTTTATTAACTTATTTTATACAGAAATTAATAATGGCAATACTGTCAAATAGGTGATATTCATAGAACTAGTTGAATAGTTAAAAAATAACTAGCTAACCTGGCGCATGGAATCATGCGTTATCTAGACGCAGGACTTTTTATTGATTTTTTATTTGGTGTTTTCGGGTATTACTACAACACAAAACAGTGTGCTTTTATTAGGCATGCAATACATGTAGGCTTGAAATTAAGTTGTCAACACTTAAAAGATACTACGACTACGATCAGCTGATGCAGCGTTTCCAATTTCGTTTAAATGCTTGGATTTAACCTAAGCTAAAAATGTGTTTTATAGTCTTTAAATTACTAATTATTTATATGCTTCATAGTAACCATGGGAAAAGTATAATGTGTAACGTGAGTGTCTTTGCTGCACTAGAGAAACGTTAACTCTCATCTGCAGCAAAGTGCCACTTCGCTCACTACTAACACAAATAACTATTTAGTATAAAGTTAATCTGCGCAATGTGTTTAAACAAATGTTGATGTTACATTGAATTAATAAAATACTAGAGGTTTCTATAAACATTAAAATTAAAATCAGTTTGTTTAAAAACAGTTAGCTTGTTTGCTATACAAAAATATTTTATTACAACCCCACTCAAGGCCTTCAATTGACTATGTCAATGTTGATGACTTACAGTAATTATCTGAGTTACACAACTAACTGTGGACAAGAAACGGCAAAAACAACGGTTGGTGATTCAGCCCAATGGAGCATTATGATCAGAGTCAAGGTTCTGTCTAACCAAGCATGGAGTCTGGGATATATAACATTTGTCCTAGACCATTGTCTCAGAGCTTCTGATCATGTGGCAACTTGGAATAGTGTGTACAATGCTGTTAGCGGCTACCGGTACCTCAGCTATCAAGGTAATCTCACACTGGATAAGTCTAAATATTAAATTTATGTATCATACATAATTCATTCAATCATTGGTGTCTGTTTAACTAATACATTTAGAAAATTAATATGAGTACAACTAGGGATGGACAAGATTGGATTTTTAGTTCGAGACGAGACGAGACGAGATTTTTTATTTCTCATAAAATTTTGAGACGAGATCGAGACGAGATTTCTCTTCTCATACACAACGGGAAATGCACGTTCAAAATTTTTACCTGATTTTGTAACATTGTTAGATGACTGTTTAAATACTAAAATAATGATAATAGGCAAGAATATTTACAATCTTTCATTAAATAACATCAGCATAACATTTTTTTATTAATCACGCCTAACTTATTAAAAATGCCTACGATTAGGAAACATGGTGATATCAGTTAGGATAGAGTTCAACTTATCCTAAAATAAAATAAATCATAAAATAAAAGCAATATAAATTTTTATAAAATAGTTACTTGTTTTGACTTTTTTTTATAGTAATAAAACATTCCTCACACTGCTTACACTTAACAAAACTTCTCAAATGTTATTAAAGTAATATTATTAAAATAATGAAAGTAATATTTACATTAAAAGAATTAAAGCAATATTTACATTAAAAGAATTAATTAAATAAGAACGCCTTCGAAAAGGAAACGCAACTACAACACGCTCCTGTATTGCGTGTATTGCATTGACTTTCTGCAGGCGTTTTTAATTTTTTTTTTATTTTTTTTTTTTTTTTATTCTCGTCTCGATAAAAATCTCGGCCAAAAAGTAATCTCGTCTCGTGTAACGAGATTGAAAATTTCCCGAAAATTTCCCGAAATTTCGAGACTTGACCATCCCTAGTACAAACGTATAAGTTATAGCAAAAACTATCTTACTATATATAATACTAGTTGTTTCCAGTTGATAATATTAACTACATTTCAATGTCATTTTAATAATATAAATACCATTTTACCTTGTCACTACATAATAATCAAAAGTGAATACTCAATACCGCCTCGCAGAACAGTTAACATTAACATCTTACTTTTGAAATGTTAAGGGGGAACCCTACCTAAAAAATTGGAAATTCCAAAAATTTGTTGTTTTGTTTTATTACATATTCTTATTCTTTACAAATTTCTGGTTAAAATGATATATAATAAACACACGACTAAAGTATATTTGGAAACCATTTAAATTTGACTTTAAAAGTAAACTTTGCAGTCAGTTTTGCATGCAAATAATTGCAAAGCCTCTGTGGAATACCGATTTATTATTTTTCTTTTTATAAATTCTAATAAATTATATGTAAGTATAATGCCTTTTCTATCATATAGCACTAATCTCATAGTAATACTGTACTTTGTTGTGTCTGCAGTTCTAGCTTGTAATAAAAATAAAACACATGGTTTTGTCTGCAGTATTTCTGTCAGCTGTTTGGTTTTAGCGAATTTCCCTATAGGGAATAAGCTATTACCGTAGTACTCATGGTAAGACCTGGACTCGGGACCCATTTACTTTTTTGTTTTGAGGTCCCTAAAGGTCAAAAACACCATCCGTTCAAATTCATATATATGGTATATATATTTATATATATATATATATATATGTCCCTTAGCGCGATAACTCGAGCAAAAATCATCCGATTTTGATGAAATTTGGTACAAACGTATAAACCTACATTTAATCGAACGAGTTCGCGAACGAGCATGATCGGAATATGGAAACAGGGGTTTATGGGGGGTTTTACGGGGTAAAAATTGGTTTTTCCCATTTTTGACCCTAAAAACTTAAAATTTAGCATTTTCTTTTGTTGATAACTTTACTTATAAGTGGTGGGGCAGGGAAGTATCCCTAATTTTAAAGGTAAATTAAAAGACAACCAAAAATGTTAGAGCCAAACTTTTTATTGAGATTAAAAGGTTATATCTGGGAATTTATTTTAATATAACTTTACTTGGTTTTAAACAGCATATCCTGCAAGTTGTGTCCCTAATCTTAAATGCATTACTGTATTCTGGTTCTGGAGTTCATTATAACTTTGTGAAGCATTTGTTGTCGTGGAAAGAGGCAACATTCAAGGTGAATTGCATCCTTCAAGGCATCTAGGGTCTTCCCCCTTGAACTACCCTAGGCTTAGCATCACTCCAATAGAGCACATTCTGCTTATTTACCCGCTCCAGGAATATGGAAGTGTGCCTCGTCACTAAACAAAATCCGAGCAGCATGAGGTAGTCCCGCAATTAAGTTTTCACATGCCTGCATTTGTTGTTGCCAGTCCCTTTGTGTGAGATCATGAGCAACTACCCTCTTGTATAGATGGAGGTGTAAGTCCTCATGGAGAATACGAGGCACAGTACGATTAGACAACGCCAGCGCGGATGCATGCTTACAAGGAGAACTTTGAGGAGACTGCAAAATCGATCTTCTGACAAGGTCAATGTTTTCAGGACTCCGGACCGTTTTTTGAGCTCCAAATATCCTTCGCAATACACCACCACATACACAAAAGTAATTCACCCACACCAAATTGTAACAGCTTTGCGACAGGCTACCCGATAACCCGACAGCCAATGGTAGCTACACAGCAACAATAGACAGATTTTTGAAAAAATACATCTCGAGTGCAAAAGCACATTGGTCACTCGAACAAGCCATACCTACTACTGATAGTGATATTTTTAGAAATTCCCAAAACAAAAGCTTCATTTGAGCCTAACCCCATTCTTCCAGCACACCCCCACTACTCACAGTACCATCTTAAAAGTAGGGATATTTCCCTGCCCCACCCTGTATAAAGTAACACAATTTTCATCAAACTAATTTAATATTTTACTGTAATTTCATAATACCCCCGCTGCAGCAAACCTGCCGACTTAGCGAATTTCCATCTGCCTGGATCGATTTTCAATTAATCTATTTATTAAATTAACATTTATGTTTAACGAGTACCTAGGTAGCTGCTACAGGGAAACTAATAAAGTGTGTTTTTTATTAAAATATCAATAGCTTAGTATGAAATAAATAAATCTGCCAAGTTTGATTAAAATATATCCATAAACAAGCCAACTACAACATATTATAATATTCTCCATAAGAATAACATGGGAATTTTAAATTAAACATTTTTTTAATTTTCACCGTAACCAATCACCGTACAAAAACACTTTGGTATACTAAATTATTTGTTTTTTTAAGCTCTTTAAAAAGGTCTGAAGAAAAATGGATAAATTTTGTGTTTTAAGGGTAAAAAATGAGAAAAACCCATTTTTACCCCATAAAACCCCCCGTAAAACCCCGTTCCCATGGTCCGATCATGCTGGTTCGCGAACTCATTCAAGTTTATCCCGCCTTACACCTTCAAACCAAATTTTATCAAAATCGGACAAAAATTACTCAAGTTATCGTGCGGATGGAAATTTGAACGAATGGTGTTTTTGGCCTCTGGGGACATCAAAATGAAAAAGTAAATCGGTCCCGGGCTTAGGTCTTACCATGAGACCTACGGTAATAGCTACTTCCCTATAGGGAAATTCGTTAAAACTATATTCATCACAATTCAAGACAAAACAGAATCAAAACATAAATAAACAACAAAAACAATACAATTAAAGAACATATGTTATTTAACATATGAACATTACCAACATCTTTCCAAACTATTATGTAGAGCTTAAAAAAACAAATAAACCGGAAACCATTGATTTCCATGACTCACAAACTTTGTTCAAAAATTATAATATAACATGCACACACAAAAATAATACTGCCTGGACAAGTTATTTCACAGAGAATACTGAAATGTGTATTAAAGATAACAATTTAGTAATAAATTTAACAAAAATATGGTATTCAAAATAAGGTAGGAAAAGGGAAAACCCAGCCTCCTCCGTCCCCATAGTTATCTGCCACTTCTCTCTCCACTTCCTTTTTTCCCTCCTATATACTTTTTATTATTTATGTTTTATTCAGTTTACAGTGTTTACAAAATTTAGCTTAACTTATAAAAGACTTAACTTAAGTCAACTCAAAACGTTATAACAATATTTGTATAGCAATTTGAGTTGTAATAATAAAGTTGTAAAATTTTAATGTTTTTTGTCAAAACATTCTTTACTTGTTGTTTTGTAGCATTGAAGATGCGTCATTTCTTCAAACTAATCCTTAAAACTACCTAATACAATTTCTGTCAACAAATACAATAATGTTAAAAACATCATCATTTCTGTTGGCAAATGTTTAATTTAGTTATTTTAAAACTCATCTCAGTATAATGCTCTCTCAACTAGGTGTTAATTTAATTTTCTCTTAAATTTTTAAAACTCTTGATTTGTGTCTATTATGGGAGAAATTTTGTTTAAAAATTTAGATCCTATATAATTGGGCTTTTTCTCAAAAATTTTTAATCAGAGACTTTGCAACCTTATTTTTAAATTGTTTCTTGTATTATAATGGTGGATCAACTGACCAGTCTCAAATTGCTCTTGATTTTGTTTTGAGTAATTAAGTAATATACACTGTCGAGTAATATACACTAACAATATCCTACAAATATTAAATTAAATTATAAGATAACATAGGAACAGATTATATTGAACTAATACAAACTCAAAACAAAACTCATAAACGAATAGAACTGTAATAAATTTAATTGTCGTACATTTGTGAAAAATATGCTACAATAGTCGGGGTTACGGCCGACTAGAGCATTGCAAAGTCCCCTCACATCCATCCATCTTTGGGAATTTCCATGACTCTCTAAGAACTTTTGCCTATTTCCATGACTTTCAATGACCAGAATTTTATTCCATGACTATCCCTGACTTTCCAGAATGTGGACACCCTGCCACTAGTCTGACGCTCTTCGATCCGATCCGATCAGCCCAGTCTCCGATGCCTTCCGTCGAAATTACTTTGCAAAGCATTAAATGGACTGTAACCCACTAGTTTGACGCTCTCCGCTCCGATCAGTTCCAGTCCGACACCTTCCGACAACATTGGTCTCTCGGGCATTTTTGTCGGATGTTGGATCCGATTTTTCTTCAGTCTGCGTGCACAAGACCTAGATTAGTCACTGTCTAGCTTAGTGTGTGACATGAGTGTAGACGAACTATTGATTGAAGCAGTTTGAATGTTTTCTTTATTTATACAGTAGGTGATAAAAGCAGCCTGAAAATATTCTGATACTTTAAGTGATGCAAGTTCTATGGATTTGAGTGGTGATTGGGTTCTTAAATTGTGGACTAGACTATTATAGAAAAAGTATATGCGAATTAAGAAGCATTGGATCCTGGACAAATAATTACTTTTACTACTCCAGCAGCCAAAGTTAAAAAAATTACAAATTAAATAATTCAGGTCTTTTTAAAAGACCTGAAACATCTAATTTCTCTTCGGTTACTGACGGATCCCGTCAGACCAATGGGTTATTGCCTTAAAGAGTACAGAAGAAGTCGGAGACCGACGGAAAGGAGAGAGAAGGACTAGTGGGTTTCCTGATTTACTAGTGGGTTTCTTACAATGCTTATTAGGCTATATCACTCTAATTTTAAGTAGGTAATTTATAGCGTAGTGTTTTATGTGTTTCCCAACAAATGTTTTCAACACATAAAGAAAGTGAAACACTGTATGTTATATCTAATTGTTTGTCTTACAGGTGTTTGGGGACTATGAGGAGTATTCTGACTACAAGCATGGGGAGGGAGGGTCAGACCATTGGCAAGGCCTCGAGTCCGACCACGTTGGGAAGGGGCGAGGAGAAAACTACCATCACGGTCACTTCTTAGACAACTCTGGCAAGTAAACTTACAGAATGTACCTCTAGAGTCGAGACATCAACACTCAAATCTAACGGAATGAGGAATGATAAGTAAAATACCCCTGCCACAGCAAACCTGCAGACTAAGCGAATTTCAATTTGTTATACTAAAATATTTCCATAAACAAGACATATTTATTTCCCTAGTAAAAACCATTAAATTTAAGGAGTTATTAGGTTTGCTGCTATGGGGAAGGTAACAAGTGTTTTTTCAACCAAATGTTAATAGTGTTTGGTGAAATAAATATATTTGATCAACATATATCTATAAAACTAGCAAAATACAACAGTTTCCTTAATTTTTATAAACATAACTAGCAACCTGTGTCACTTCGTGACTTTAAAATCTGTGATATATTTGATACGTAGTTGATAAGGATGTAAATGTTTATGTCTCATTACATCCCTATTAATTGCATTGCGAGCCCTATTATTTTCATTGTGTGCGCGATCTCTTCGAGACATCTTTGAAAAATTACAAATACTAATGAAATATATTATGAAAACACAAAATCTAATGTAAGTAATTTTCTTCATTCCATTTTAAACAACTAACATTACAATATTTTACTTGAATTCCCTAAAACATACTATGAAGACACAAAATCCTCTCACATCACAATATCTAACGCAAGTAATTTTCTTCTTTACATTTTATACAAATAACATTACAATATTTTACTTGAATTTACTGAAATATTACCAACTTCTGATAACCCCATTTTTGTATGGATGTAAACAAATGTAAACTTGAAAAAGTTCAGATGATTGACAACAGTATTCAGCACAAACTATGAAATTTTATAAGCCTATAGGACAAAGGGCTTTCATGGGATATCATCCAAACACGCAAAAGGCACATCTAGAGAATAAAAGCTTTAAATTGATAGGTACCTAATATGTCCGTAAAAATAAATATTTAGGAGTCGATTTGCTGCATACAAAAATCCAACAAATTTTTTTCCTCCATAACTACTAGAGACTGTACCAAAAACATGTTTAATACATTTAATTATTTGATTTTCAAGCACTTCAAAATGGTTTAGAGAGAAGTTTGAAACCCAATTTTTAACCCATAAAACCACCTATGAAAAAACATATGCTAAATATTAGTTTTTGATTTTTTAAGATACTAGGTTATTTGGAATGACGAAATTTGGTACAAACATGTAAACCTACGTTTATTTGAACGAGTGCGAACCAGCATTATTGGACTATGGGAACGGGGGTTTATGGGGGGTTTTATGGGGTAAAAATTGATTTTACCCATTTTTGACCCTAAAAACACAAAATATCATAATTTCTCTCCAAAACCATTTTGTAGAGCTTAGAAAAAGAAATAATTTTGTATATTGAAGCGTTCTTGTATACCCAACGGTTACAGAGATAAGTTAAAAGATTATAAATTAAAAATTCACATGTTATTCTTACAGAGAATAAATAAAACTAGTGCACCTGTTGCTCGAATTCATGCAATTGCAAAGTAATACAGGCGTTATTTCAAAACGAATAACAGTCATAATTTCCGACGTCTTAAAAGAGTCAGCTCAAAGATAATGTAATCAATCACTCCACTACAGTTATCGAAACTAAAAACGAACTCACTCTGAAAACTTACGCTCTTGTGTGTATCATGTGTTTACTATGAAAAGCTGAAATTAATACAAATTATTCGTCTGTTTAAGTAAACAAAATCTTTTCTCCAAAAGAAATACTTGGGATTTTGATGGTCTGTGGGGGCAAAGCCCGAGGACTTTTATTACAGGAATTGGTGAAAGGGGGCAGCTACACAAAAAATACTTAATTTTGAAGCATCCTATGTAAGAATCCATCCATTATTAACGGAGGAGTAGTGTTTCGTAGAAATCACCTTCACGTGTTATATATAAGGATGTTGTAGTTTGCTTGTTTCTGGATATATTTTAACTTTTAACCAAATTTGGACATTTTGTTAATTTAATACTAAGCTATCAACATTGCAATAATAAAAAAAACACACCTCAATATGTTCCCTGTAGCAGCAAACCTAAGTACTCACTAAAATTCATGTTATAATATATGCCAATATACAGGGTGAGTTTTAAATGAGTTCCCCCCCTACTTTTTTCTACATTTCTTAAGATATCAACTCCGGACCACGTCAGATCGTTGTAGAGTAGTAAGTACTACATTTTGACTGGGTATAAATTTTTGGCCGCCATCTTGGATCCGCCATATTGGATACAAAATTTTTTTTCAAATGTAAAGGTAGGGTTGTGACCTATCGTTTTAAACTAGATTTTTATGCTGAATACGATGCTGCAATTCGTTTTTAAAAATCTTGATCCATTCTAAAGTTATGAGAACTTTTTATAACATTATTTTTAGCCCATTATAACATTGTGCATTTAGAAACTAAGAACATAATCGCAAAATAGTGCTAGATAAAGAGTTATGTATATTATGTGGTGTATACTTATCTTTATCTAGCACTATTTTGCGATTATGTTCTTATTTTCTAAATGCACAATGTTAAAATGGGCTAAAAATAATGTTATAAAAAGTTCTCATAACTTTAGAATGGATCAAGATTTATAAAACAAATTGCAGCATCGTATTCAGCATAAAAATCTAGTTTAAAACGATGGGTCACAACCCTACCTTTACATTTGAAAAAAAAAACTTTGTATCCAATATGGCGGATCCAAGATGGCGGCCAAAAATTTATACCCAGTCAAAATGAAGTACTTACTACTCTACAATGATCTGACGTGGTCCGGAGTTGATATCTTAAGAAATGTAGAAAAAAGTAGGGGGGGAACTCATTTAAAACTCACCCTGTATATAAATCTATCTATATAATTAATACGCTACATGAAACTTTGTCGGTTGAACTCCTCTGCCATTTCTTAACCGATTTTATCCATTGACGTCTCATTGGAAAGAGCGTGTCACGTAGATTTGCAAACTGGCCTTACATTTTTGAAAAAGTCCCTTGGGCTCTGCCCCAGTGGCTTTGAAAGTTCCCATGTTATCCTTATGAAGAACATAATTGTTTACATTTTGATCAGCTGTATAATTAAGCTGAGCGAGCGAAGCTCTTTGGGATAAACTTCAATGCAACAAGTAAAGAAACATTACTCAATAACGGCTGTACGCATTTCAGCCGAACTTAACAAAATGACTTAGACTAATAGTGAGATGGTTTTTAAACAAACAAATTTCAATTAGATAATGCTAATGCAATTTAAAACGAACTTAAAATTTCCAATTTTTAACATTAGGCTTATGGGACTAAAGTAGCCATGACAGTTTTTTTCATATCATAACATATCCTCCATCAAGAATACTTGGTATTAACAATCATAAATTATTTCCAGCAAAGAAAGCTGAGTTTAACCGATTGCAAGGGTTGAAATGAAGACCAATGTTTATGTTGCACAGTTGAATTTAAATGTCAAATTTCCCCTCCTGATGTTATACTTTAATACTCGTAGGAAATAAATCTGACAATTTTTAGGGAATATTTTAGTAGAAATCGAGCCAGGTAAATGGAAATTCGCTTAGTCTGCAGGTTTGCTGCGGTGGAGGTATTTAAATTTATACTTTCAATTTAACTTGATCTCATTAACTCTGTTGTAGACAGTTCTGAGAAGATTTGTTTGAATATCCATCTTAGAATTTTAATCAGAGCATTGTTAAACATTAGTTAAGTGGACTGCGCTCCTAAAAGTATCATGAAGATAAAACAATAAGGATTAAGAATTAAGCCCAACTATTGTTACAGCTTTTTTGCTGAAACGAGTATCAGATTAGATCTGAGTAGATTACCAACAAAAATAAACTTAATATCCTTAACTGCAATGTAATCTTACAATTGTTCACTGTAGGCTTTAAGTTCAGATGAGTGAGGTACTGTTAGAAAGTCATATGAAGACTGATTTTTATCTGACACCCCATTACAGTGTTATGTAACGATGTGTTGAATCCGAATCTGGAATCCACCGAATCCTAAGAAAAGATTCGGATTTGAGATTCGATTAACAAGATTCAAGAATGTTTTTTTAGAATAGAATTATAAGGCGTATACTGTGACATTGCCTGACCATAGAGGTTATTTACGTCGTAATATACAGTACTGTGACATTGACTAACCATAGAGTTTATTGTGGTAGTGGTTATAAGTGTTAAATGGTTCCTATTCCATTCTTGCTTTTTTAAATCACCATACGCCCATTTGTAATTATTTGTTGGACTCGAGATTTGAAGAATCGAGATTCAATTTTTTAGGATTTGGATTCGAATTCTAGATTCGAAATTCCTGGATTCGACCATCACTAGTGTTATGTTAATTTAACATACTAACTGAAAAACTTACAAACTGTAAATCTGCAAATCTACTGATCTTAATTTGATTACCAGCTACGATATACTACAACACCCGGTGTTGGTTTCAGGAGAGGTATTACACGGAGACAGCAAGGCTGGTGGACACATCAAGCACCATGTAACTAAAGGCTACAGAGATTTTCACCACAAGGACGAGGTTGGCCAGCTGACCAGATACATTGACGGTTCAGGTGACTCGGGCGACCATCATGGTACACATAGCCTGCGCAACAGGTGGGGTGGTCACGCCTCAGCTGGGGTACACGGGTAGGTACCTGAGATGGAGTAGCCATTCTTTGTACCTTGCCCTCTTTTGAGTGGGTTTTAAAGCTGTCCTTCGTTTATAACAAATCTTCATTTGGTTGATTTGTGAAATAATTGAACATTTGTAATCATTTTCGGATGTCTTATTAGTTGACATATTGGTTTAAAATTTTATTGTTGCTGATGTTTACAATAAAACACTATTTTCAGAGACCACTGCTGATTAATTGAGGAAAGTAGATATCAATGCTCATCATAATAGCCTAATTCGCATTATAAATCTTGTATCCCAACAATAAAGCAACTCACAAGTTTTTTAATAAAACATTTTTTTATAATTTGTAACTTTTGACTTGCACAATTCAATAGTTTGCTATAATTCTGTTTATCAATTATTGTATAATATTAAAACAGGTCTGTTTACGTTTCAATATTGTATAGTGTCAATATTGGACTCTGTCCTTTGAATTATACAAGTTTTAAGGTGAGGATGAAATAGGTTTTATTGAATAACACAAATCTAAAAACTGGCGATAAACTAATTGGGTAATCAAGAAGGTATTCATATAAGTCGTAGGTGAAGCCAAACTATGGATAATCGCTTCGTAATATTTTTTTAAACCATCACTATTTTCTTTACAGGGCTAAAATTTGCACTAACCACCACCATTTTAGCATGCATTCACTACTTTTTAAGTTTATCAACAGAAGATTGAAGATAGTACCTGCAGAGTACAATTCCATCCCGTACACAAGCTGTTCTACCTGTCCCAGAGTGGGGAAAAATTCCAGCATAAACATACCTAGATTTTGATGTTGGCAGAGGGGACAATTCCAAACTGTAAATTTCTGGCTCTTATTAATTCATATACCTATAATATTATCGTTTAGTTCACTGGGACCTATTCCTATTCTCCCTATAAATCAATTATATTCCATTATAAGCCAAGTTTACGAGCAGGAATTGTACCCCCCACCCTATGTGTGATGACAAAATGACATATAAATTATTAGTGGGGGGTACAATTCCGGCAAACCAAGTTTGTTTAGATTCTAAGAACAGTTATTAAGAATATTCTCAAATATTATAAGGTATAAGGTCAACACAGAATGATTGAAGAAGTACACAATTTCATACTTTTTTCAGGGATAATCATAAATCAGAGTTTAAAGGTGAAAAATCAGCTGCAGAGAAAAAGGAATCAAAAGAAAAGAAAGAAGACTATAAATGGAAAATTGGTGACTTTCTTTATACCAAGAAGCCAACTTCTTATGAAAAGAAGTTTTATTCTCATGTACCCTTACAATATGTTCCTTATCCTCATTACTTTTACTAAAGGAATGAGTGTGCTTGAATTTTTATAGTAATAAAACCAACAACAATTTTCTAATAATAATAAAGAAAATCTACAAATTACTACACTGTCCTTTTTTAAATTCCTATGTTCAAAATTATCATCAATAGATAGATGAGTTATACACATCGGTCTTGTCTCTTTATTTAGGTTAGTCAGGGTTTTAATGTAGGCCTATATCCCAAAATGTCAAGCAAATATCCAGAATCAGTGATAAAGTTTTTTTTTTTTTTATACAGCTAACGTTTTCAATTTTTGTTATGACAGCATTTTTGAATGCAGGAAGATATGCCACAGAAAATGAACTTTCAATCCATCCAAGTAAATTAACAAATTAAGTTTGATTGGTACCTCTGAGCGAGTGCTTGAATCCAGAAGAAGAGTGGACCAGCAGAAACTTGGATTTGTTGTCCAGCAACAGTTTGTTATCTGTTTTGACTGCTTCTTGTATCATAAACTCGTAGAACTGGTCTCGCACAAAGCCTGGGCTGGCTATCAGCACACACTTGACTATGTCAAAGTTGATGTGCCGTAGAATTCCCTGCATCACGTTCTCAAAGAATTTCTGCAACCCCTGAAAATTAAAAAGGTAGGCTTATAAGTTATAATGCTTTTAACTGGTATGAAATCTTATGAGTAGCAACTAAATCCTAAATAGGCCTAGTGATTAAATGGACAGATTATGTCAGAGAATGAGTGAATTTATGTATTAATTTTTAAAGATAATGACTACGTAGCCTTCATTTTCTATGGAAGAGGCACTTTGAATTAAAGTCAATGCCGGATTTAACACTTTTAAGGGAAAGCGCTCCAACCCATTTAAGTTTTATGGTTGTGCCAGGAATTGAACCCGGCCCTCCCGCACCGAAGTCTGAGACACTAACCACTAGGCTAGCAACACAACCAATACTTTTGAAAATAACGAAAGAATAAAAACTGCTGACAATTGGTGCTGCTATCTTTTAGGTTAGATTGAAAACATGCAAAGCTAATTTCCATATAGGAAAGTGGCTATTATCGTAGGTCTCATGTATACTAAGGCCCGAGACTGATTTACTTTTTTATTTTGATGTCCCCAGAGGCAAAAACACCATCTGTTCAAAACGTTTTACAGTGTGGCTGGTCATCAGTGTTACAATTTTTTTTTTTTTGTGTAAGTACAATGTAAATTAATTGTGATGATGCATATAAGAGTTTCCAAGTGTAAAAATTAACTTCCCAAAGAATTATTTTATTTTTTAGCGAATTTCCCTATAGGGAAGTAGCTATTACCGTAAGTCTCATGGTAAGACTTAGGGACCGATTTACTTTTTCATTTTGATGTCCCCAGAGGCCAAAAACACCATTCGTTCAAATTTTTATATATGTATATATATATATATATATATGTGTCCGTGAACACGATAACTTGAGTAATTTTAATCCGATTTTGATGAAATTTGGTTTGAAGGTGTAAGGCGGGATAAACTTGAATGAGTTCGCGATCCAGCATGATCGGACCATGGGAACAGGGTTTTATGGGGGGTTTTATGGGATAAAAATTGGTTTTTCTCACTTTTGACCCTCAAAACTCAAAATTTCCCAATTTTTCTCTAAACCTTCTTAAAGAGCTTAAAAAAACAAACAATTCAGTATATCAAAGTGTTTTTGTACGGTTATTGGTTACGGAGAAAACTAAAAAAATGGTAAATTTAAAATTCCCATGTTATTCTTATGGAGAATATTGTAAAATGTTGTTGTTTGCTTGTTTATGGATATATTTTGATCAAACTTGGCAAATTTATTTATTTTATAGTAAGCTATCAATATTTTACTAAAAACACACTTTATTAGTTTCCTTGTAGCAGCAAACCTAGGTACTCGTTAAACCTAATGTTATTTAAATAGATCTATTGAAAATCAATTCAGCCAAATGGAAATTCGCTTAGACGGCAGGTTTGCTGCGGCGGGGGTATTATAATTATTTTAAAACCATGTTTTTGAACACAATACAACAATTTGTCAATTACCTCCAAATGGGTTTGAGTATATGACGTCATTTTCATGTTCTACATTAAATTTTGAATAAGAATAATTGAAAATGGTGGAGTTCAATATTAAAAACGACATTGTAAATATTTAGTTCCAAAGATTATAATTAAGGTCTATGATCAAAATAAAAAAAAAAAAACGTTGGTCTATTGAATTTTTCTACACGCTGTATACAGTACAAGAAGGTAACAAAATACGTTGACAACTGCGCTATTTTATGAGCTTTCCAACCATATGCTTCGCTATTGAGGTTTAGATATGCTTTTGTTTTTTAAGGGTATGAATATTAGAAAACAGGAACCTTTTTTACAGTTCAAATTGAAACAAAATTTAAGTTTAGCTGAATTCATGCCTACAATCTATGTTTAAAATGTTAAAAATACCATTTTTTTTTAGTCTTCAAACCACTTAAGCGTACATAAGCAGATCTAAAGCTCAATAGTGTAGCATATGGTTGGAAAGCTTATAAAATGGCACAGTTTACAACATATTTTGCTACCTTTTTGTATACAGGGTATAGAAATAACAATAGACCAATGTTTTTTAATTTTTATCTTTAGATCTATTAACAATGGAGTTTTTACAATTGTTCTTCTACCATTTTCTGTTATTCATATTCAAAATTTAATGAAGAACACGCAATTACAGGTAATTGAAAAATTGCAGGAAAACGGCCAAAGATCCAAGTCATTTTGATGTATTCACTGGATTGGTGAGAGTGTCTTTAACCATTAAAATATGGCCTCACTACTTTGTAAATAAAATTACGGAAGTTCAAAAATGCAGTTTTGAGTGATTTTTGTCAAGTTTTAGTCAAATTTTTATCACAAAATCATCTATGAAATAATGAACAGCTGTTGGGATCAAGATTTTTTTCTAGCTGTCACTGACAACCAAGTGAGATTAAAAACATATTTCTTACATAACGGATTTAATTAATCGCAAGTGCAATAATATAGTGTAACCGTAAATGAAATGAAATAACTAGGCATCATCCAGGTCAGGAACCAGAGATTCTTTGTGTATAAAATTGTTCTGGAGTTTTGATAACCAGAAAGAAGACCTTGAATCAGTGTTGTATAGGGCTGGGAAACTTAAATTTATTAATGATTGTCGCCAATAGCTTACAAACAAGGTTTCCACTCATTGACGGTGCTTCAATGGCAATTGTGTAAAGTGTAAAGTAAAAAATCACAACTGCAGTGGGTGATTGTAACAGAGGTTTACGGATGATGCTAAACTCGCTTTTCCAATGTGTCACTTTCTGTTTATATTCACAGTGTGATGCAATCGCTGGACCATACAGCCAATAGGCAGCCCATCTCTTGGGTACATACGCCTACCCAATTATTCATAACAAACTTTTCAACGACGATCCTTGATACCGGTACTTTTCCCTAGAATACATGGCCTACATACTTAAAAAATAAAATTACAAATGTCCAAAAACCCAACATTGTGTGATTTTTGTCACATTTCCTTCTAATGTGAATAGATATACCAATCATTGTTTAGAGAATACGTAATCTATTCAATAACAAAAAGTTGTTTGGATAAGGTTGTTTTTATTTTAAACTGACACCGATAAGTTTACATTAAAAGTTGTTTACAAATAAAACAATTAATGAGAAATAACTTTAATTTTCTGATAACTTTTTACGAGAAAATCCAAAACCAAGAGATCAATAATCTCGGGACTTGAATACTGCATTAAATTGGTCTGATCTACTATAGTTCTTAACTGTAAACGTTGGTTTTTGGTACTGGTTCTTTTCATTAGAACCGTTGGTAGCTGCAAGAATCATTTTTACGTACCAACACATCACTAATTTTCAAATTAGTTATTGTTGGTTTTGCACCTTATTTATTACAGCCGTATTTAATTTAATTTATGTCTTAACTGTATAAGTTTTGCTTTTTCTGTCTGGATTCCAAGATCTTAGTTTATGCTAAGAAAATGATAATGCATTTGAGTAAAATATTTGTTGAGCAAACTATCATGAATTGTTTACACTTTACCTTGTTTAAATGTATCAATAGTTTGTGGCCTATTTTGGTAATTTTTATTCTAAATTACCAATCTAAATCGTCTATAGTACTTCATTTCATATAGTGTAGTGATGGTCGACCGGATCCGCCGGATCCGAGCTAGAACTTGCACCGGATCGGATCCCAAAAATTCCGGATCTTGGGCTGGATCCGGTTTTAATGGATCCAATTTTTTCAGATTTTTTTACTAACACAAAGCTGTCTGTATCCGTGTACAAGACCGATTTCCCCCCGATTTTTTTACTAACACAAAGCTGTCTATATCGTCTTTGTATATTTGTTGATGCAAACAATTTATATGGGTAGGCCATGTCTTTGTATTTGTATCTTGATGCAAACAATTTATATGGCTAGGCCATGTCTTCGTATTTATATGTTGATGCAAACAATTTATATGGCTAGGCCATGCCTTCGTATTTATATCTTGATGCAAACAATTTATATGGCTAGGCCATGTCTTCGTATTTGTATCTTGATGCAAACAATTTATATGGCTAGGCCATGCCTTCGTATTTATATGTTGATGCAAACAATTTATATGGCTAGGCCATGCCTTCGTATTTATATGTTGATGCAAACAATTTAAGCTAGGCGCCCACCGGGCAACTCAGCGGGTGACGCGGCGCGGCGCGGCACGGCGCGGAGAAAAACTTCCGTCCGCTTCTCCAGGGTTCGCGCCCACCAAGCAACTCTAGCGGAAGCGCGGGGCAGCGCTGAGAATTATTCTTTTGGAGGGGATGCACAGTGCACTTCGATTCGGACCCGAACACTCCCGAAGGGCTCACGATACTTTCCGAAAACACCCGAATGAGCGGCAGACGAGGGGCAGACGCCGTTTCCGTGCCTCTACCCCGCGCCCACCAGGCAACTCAACGGAGGCGCCGCAACACGAGAGGAAGAAATTCTCCACCGAATTCTCACTGCCGGATTCGAGAAGAAGTTTTTTTTCCGCGCCGCGTTGCGCCACCCGCTGGGTTGCTAGGTGGGCGTCAGTCCATAAGATAACATGGCACGGATACGTGGCAACTTTTTTCCACGGCGTCGCGCCGCGCCGCGCCGCGCCGCGTCACCCGCTGAGTTGCCCGGTGGGCGCCTAGCTTTATATGGCAAGGCAATGTAACATATTGCCTTATTGACCTTATTGCCTTATATAACATATTGTATATTTCCTGTTAGCTTCACATTTCAGCGACGCTATTTTGTATTCTACAATGATTAAGAAGAGGGATAAAGAATACACATCATCAGTCACTAGGGCTGAAAATAGGAAGTCCATCATTCAGCCCACGGTAATCCCTAAAGAGAAGAGCAGCACAGCTGAATCACACCACTGGGTAAAAATTAAACAAAAAAGTAATTCTTACAAGGGTCCTAACCAACACATTACAGAGCCTACAACTGCAGTGGAAAATAGGTTTAACATTCTTAATGAATTAGATGACAGTTGTGAAGTTCCTGATAACATTCCAGAAAAAAACCAGACCAATACCAGTA